GCTTTGTTTTTGTTTTGTTTTTTTTTGGTTTTTTTTTTTTTTTTTTTTGTACCGTGTTTTTGTGCCATTATTTCTCTTTAATCCAAAGTCTGAAAGTTAATATTTATTACTACACACAAAGTCTTACAATTTAGTTTTGCTGTTTATATATTGGTTTTATGTGTTATTTTGGTGTTTTACAATGTCTTCACTTTTGTTGTCAGTTTGTCTTTTTCCCCTAGGGCAATTGTGTAAATAGGTTGTTTTTTTTTTTTTTTTTTTTTTTTTTTTTTTTTGTTCCTTAGGCTGCAGTTTTATTTTGTTAGCAAATAATGTGTGTTGTGTTCTTTCTCAGCAGCACCACGTGTTTTGATTTTTTTTTTTTTTTTTTTTCCTCTTACCACTTCCACCCTCAGAACTGTAATATGTAGTGACATCTGTCACTGTCACCTTTTTAACTTTTGGTGGCTTAATGCATTTTTAAAGGTCAGTTTATAAAATCTATGAATCAAACCTGTGTTGTGGAACTGCCTACTCCTTTTATACAAAGAGACAGCTGCTACAGCAGAGGCTTGAAGTGAACTCTTTGAAGTTTGTGCTTATATTGCACCCCCATGGAATCTTCTGTATGCAGAGCAATGCAGCAGCCCCAGTTTACCTTTTCACACATAGAAAATCAACTGTTGCTTTGTGGGTGGTAAAGCATTTTCCATCCTTCCAAGTAGATCAGTGTATTTGACAATTACTACTAGGTTGCAGTCGTGGGCACATCGCTTGACATGAAGTTTATTTGCAGCATGGCTGGAATATGTAAAAAGGTGTTTCCAAAAAATACAAATTATTCTTTTTTGGTTTTTTTTTGTTGTTTTTTTTTGGCCTTTTATACAATTGAAGGCCTTTTTCATACAGATTGACACTTTTTTTTTTTCTTCTGTTAGACAAACTGATAAGGAGGCCTTAATATAGGACAAACCTATTTATAAAAAAACTGTCTTTTTTTTTATGTTTTTGCACTATATTAAAAAGATTCCTGATCAGTTTGTCTTTATAAAAGCTTTCTTTTTTATTATTTTTTAAAGAAAAACTGATAAGGAAACTTTAATATAGCTCCAACATATTTTAAAAAATAATAAAAAAAGAAAGTCTTTATAAAAAGACAAACTCAAAGGAAAACCTTTTTTTAATTTTTATTTTTTTTCACTGCAGTTTCTTTAGAAGTTTTTTTGTTTTCCTCCTTTTTTATTTTGTGTTTTTGGTTTTTTTTTTTTTTTTTTTTTTTTTTTTACCTTTTGAACTTAAAGGAGAAAGGTGTTTATAAACCCGGTGAAAGCCATGTTCGAAATATTTATTTATGGGGTAACTTTTGCCTTCAGACCATGTAAAAATTGCTTGTTGCTATTATAAATGAAGCTGCACTTTACCTTTTAATAAACCGCCTCCTTTGTGCTGAAAATGTTGGCTAGTCTAAGGCCTTTCAACTAGCTGTAGATAATGTTTAAGACTTGTATCTTGTATAATAAGTAACAATTAAAGAATGACAAATGCACTTCAGGCAGAAAGGGCTTTAACTGTACTGTTTACTTACTCACCTGATAAGAAACTATGACTACTAGTGTTTTTGGTCTGGGCAGTTTCCTGTTGGGATAGACAGACACAGATCCCTTGTTCTTTTCACATGTGTTTACATATCCTGGTGCAGTTATATTGTTTGGCATGTATTCTGAGTGTTAGCCCGCGCTTTATGAAGGTCACAATAACTCCTACAAAGCAACAAGTAATCATAGCTTCACTTTTAACTTTTATCTGGGATCTGTGAAGCAAGAGGAGCAGATGGTAGGTTACGGATTTCGTTTCCTTCAGAAACGTTTTGGCTTGCAGTCTTGTTTGTGTGATCACCACTTTATTATAATACACAATAACCCGGGATTCTATGGTTATTTTAATGTAATATAGGAGCTCCAACAGAAGATTATTCAACTTGCTTTTTGTTTAAATGTCTAAAGTGGATTGTCACAGCAGTGAAATGAGGTGAAAATAAGCAGCCCTCGGGTTTCTGTTTTGCAACAGTCGTTTTGAGTCATCTGTCAGCTCTGTGTCAGGGGAAAATAATGTACTAACAAGGTGATGTCAGTGTCGGTCATAGACACTGGAAAAGGAAATGGCTCCTTCCTAAGCACTAAAACGTAATGGACAATAGAAGGGGGGGGGGGGGCATGTGTAAGCAGCATTGGGGTCATTTACACTAGGCTGTCATTCAGTATTGTGTTTCTGGCATCACATACTTGTTTCTGTGGTCAGTTTCAATGTTAATGCAGAATTCTGTGATATAGGAGAAATTGTAGTGGTATACGTCTTGTCATGTTACACCCTAGCTGGTTTGTGGTAGCTATTGCAATTAACAAAAACATTTGTGGCTTTAACCATAGTCTCAATGGCCAAGAAGTGAGGCAGGGTACCACCACTGAGTCACATGGCACTGTGCACGATGTGATTGTAAGAAATGTTCTATGAGACATTGTCAAAGATCTGTGACAGATTGATTCCACCACACAACTGATATGGACCTTTTGAGGAATTTGCAGTGATTGATATCTGTTTAATCAGCATTCATCACTTCATGAATGCTGCGACAGGCTCTGAGGGTGCTGTGGGTTAGCTGTGCATTTCAATGCATGTTTTGAGGCTGAATCAACATGTTTATGTGGATGTAATGTTTTTTTTTTTTTTTTTTTTTTTTTTTTTTTTTGTGGTCATTTTATGCCACAACAGGTACCGTCGGCTGCCTGCACATAATTCAGACTTTTTTTTTTTTTCTAGAACATCAAGGGAGCTTTATTATGTTAATTTAGACCATCTCATGTGGTGGAGAATTCTGTCCCTCCACCTTAGTTATGGGCCTTTAGCCACAGGAATAGATGGGTCATAGCTCTGGAACACAGGAGCTGGTGTATATTTGCCTTTTTTAGGTTTTAGAAGATTTGCATTCTAGAAGTACAGATGTGCCTTTTTATTTTGGAGGTGACAGTTCTGTAAGTTGTGTGGGGTTTTTTTTTTTTATTACCCCAATTTCTCCATTATGAACTTTAAGGTCTGTAATGTCCACAATGGACAAAACAAAGGCAAAAACCTTGTAAGAACAGTCATATATTTGCTGTCTAGCCTGCAAAGAGACACTTTAGGAAAATATTTGAGGTCCAAACTGACTGAAAATTAAAAGTGGATTTGAAAGAGCTGGATGAAAAATTGTCAGCCGAACAGCAACTGGATTCATTCGGATGCAGTCACTGGTTGGGTATTTAGACAGCCTGTAGTGCTGCTGCTGTCAGAATACAATAGCTGGCAGTGTAGATCCTTAGTATTTTAGTATGGATAGTGGAATTAAAGGATTTCTCTCATTCAGCCTGTGGAGAGTGTATGGCTAGCACAGGTTTTGACAAAAAAAAGAATATTGGTGTATATACTGGTTTCCAGTAGGTTAGCCATTTTAAAATGCACATCTCTAGAAACATGGGCACAAACATGTCCACAATCATTTTTGTTTTTAATTTTAATATAATTATTTGATGGTTACCCACTCTTTCCATTATGAAATTGTTGGACAGCTTCCATTTGGCAGTTATTGCAACAAACCTTTGTATTGGATAGTGAAGTAATTACAATGCATTCATTAAGTAGGTGTGGACTTAAGAATTCAGAGTTGGCAGGATCATACAAAACCGTGGGCAATAACGGTAATTGCCATTTGTAATATTGCCATATAAATTTGACCATTAGCAGTATTTTACCTGTTGGCTCAAGAAATCTTTTGTGTAACTTTGTCAGCTCTGCTACAGAATGTGTTTTTTTTTTTTTTTTTTTTTTTTTATTTATTTTACTTGTCTACAAAATCCAGTGTTTTGTGAAATTCTATTTTACTTTTTTCATTAGTAAAACCTCAGGATCCCTATTGATCAATCTTTTAGGAATAGCAACAATACAGTGTTTTTTTTTTTTTTTTTTTTTTTTTTTTTATTATTTTAAAGAGAATTTTTAGATTCATATTCAATAACAAAAGTTATCAAATGTATCATGGTTTTGGGTCATTGGAAATGGATTTGATCTGATTGGGTCTTTGCGGTTAAATGGATCATGGTTTTGTTGGAAATGGATTTGATCTGATTGGGTCTTTGCGGTTAAATGGATCATGGTTTTGTTGGAAATGGTTTTGATCTGATTGGGTCTTTGCGATCATATGGATCATGGTTTAGTTGGAATTGGTTTTGATCTGATTGGGTCTTTGCGGTTTAAAAAGTGGTTGACGTTTCCCCTGTGTCCCTGAGTGTATATTGCCAGCACCACACTGCTAAATGCATATGGATTAAGTGTAGTACGGCTGCTCTTCTATCAGCCTCTGCCCTGGGGGGGGGGGGGGGGGGGGGGGTGGGTGGAAATTTGAATTTTGAAGGTAGGGGTGAGATTTCATACATACGTTGAAGATGGGCCCAGTGAAGCCCTACCTCATGCCCATAAAACTGTCTGCAAACATAGGTTACACAAGTACTGCACCACCACAACATCTTAAGGGAAGTGTAGGAACACTGTAGCTGTATTGTATACACCTGGTTAGGATAAATGTTAGGTCATAAAATGGTGCAAAAGTACCAACTAGAAACCTTCCTTTAAAGTGTATTAAACCTCCCTGATTTTTACAGCTGTGGAAAGTTCCATCTTGTCCTCCCTGTTTTTAGATCTTCAGCTGTCAGGGTGCTGCATGCGTGATCAGCTATGACACCAATCCTTTGAGAGCTTATACATTGGTTGAGGCCTGTCATAAACATGCTGGCAACTGTGACAGTTCTCACCAGAGGCATGCCTTGAACGTAACTGGCAAACAATGCAATAGGTTCAATTTCCCTTTAACTGTGATGTTGGAGATACTTGGCAAGAAAGTTGGGTTAAAATTGTGTGCATCTTATTAAATCTATTTAGGTCTGATGATAGTATTTGCAGCATTTGTGGTAATACATATTTATTTTGCTTCTAGGTTTAATTCCTCTGTCAGGCAGTGAGACTGAGGATGATGATGGTATGGATATTCCGCTAGACCTCTCCTCCACTGCTGGCTCAGGGAAAAGGAGGAGGCGTGGAAATCTACCCAAAGAGTCAGTACAGATTCTTCGAGACTGGCTGTATGAACATCGATACAATGCCTACCCCTCAGAACAAGAGAAGGCTCTTCTGTCCCGGCAGACTCATCTCTCTACGCTACAGGTATGTGCAAGAAATTCTTTCACATAGTTCTCATGACTGCGGGGTAGAAACTTTATTGCACAAATATTTTAGTATGTTACAAAAATGTAAAAAGAAAAGTTTAAACTGTAGAGGTAAATGCATTTATTAGCACAAAGCCAAATCCAAACTTAATCACACTTCTTCCCTGTCAATATATGAACTTTTTCATAAACGTTTGCAAATTTGTTCACAGCTGAGATATTTGCAGATCCAAAAATGAAAGTTCCCGGTGCTTTACATACAACTGTAGCAATTTTCTCACGCTTCAGGATTAAAACACCCGGCAACAGAAACATTTTAAACATCTTGTTACATGCCTGGGTGCTTTTTGGTCTTGGGGCATTCTACTATGCAAATACCCTCCAGTGGTGTCAATAGCTCACAGGCCCACAACAACCTGCCACACCTTCCTGTTGGTTCATCAATGATATAGACAGCCTTGATGGCCAGTAAAGAGCTGTGAGAGTAGGGCAGCTCCTAGTTATGTTAGGAAGAGCCACTGTGCATATTAGAGCTCTTCAGAACCTGTCTATGGCACAGCAATTTTCTATGCATATTAGTGTGGTGCAATAATTAGATTTTTGCTTTTGGTGCAGTTTTCAACAAGTGTCTATTCCATGGTGACAAATGGTGTACAATGCAGTTTTTTTGAAAAAATACTTTTTAAATGAGTTCTAATAGTTGTACTTATTATTATTATTTATTATTATATATATATATATATATGTTTTTTTTTTTTTTTTTTTTTGCACTGCCCCTTTTTAAAATTTTTTTTTATCACTTTTATTCTTATCACAAGAAATGCATGCATCCCTTGTAATAGAAATAATTAGTAACAAGTCCTCTTTATGGAGAGATATGGGGTCAATAAGACCCCACATCTCTCCTCTGCAATGTAAAGCATTGGATCAAAAAAAAAAAGCGTTGATCTAGTGCTTTAAAAAAAAAAAAATGGCTGGAATCAGAAGTGACATCGCTCTGCTCCTCAAAGGGCATAGAGATGAGTGAAGCCCATCTTTCCTTCACTAATATCTATTCCCAGCGCTGGGATCATTCGATGGTTTCTCAGGTAAGACTGAGAACTACTGAGCAAGGGGCAGGGTTTTTTCAGCACCTGTATTGGTGCTTTTTTTCATATCGGCCAAAAATTTCGATGCATCCCTAATGGATACGAGAGTACTGAAGACTGTTAAAATGATTCTTTCATTCCATATCCTCACTACATCATTTGAGGTGTTCAAGCATCTTGTCTTATGCTGATCAATCTGAAAATGTTAGTTGAACACAGATGTATTTGACATGCAACAGCTGGTATGACAGTGATGCAGCTTGGAGACATTAAGAGATGAAATCTGGCATAAAAGAAATGTTTAGCTTGCATTATAAATTAAGATGACTTATAGCAGAACAGTAATTGGTACTGTTTTCTGATGTTTAAAGGGGTACAGCTTCTGCCATTTAAATGTCTAATATCAAAATTCTAGGCAACTTTATTGTCATATTAGAAAAATATTCAGATGTGTGACAAGTCGGCGCTAAAGAGTTTTTGTGCCATGCAGCTAGAAGTGGGTAAATATACAAAACCCTAAAGTAATATAATGTATAACGCAGCGCCTTACTACTTCAAAAAGTGAATACCAAACAACAGCAATCAATCCACTGAATTTGTAAGGTTACATAAATAGTCCTTTTGAAATTCCAACTATCCGAGGGTGTGACTTCCACCATCCAGAAAAATCGCCACCACTTGTGACTGAGAGTAATACCGCACTCACCAGCTCCAAAGCTGCCAATGCAGCAAATAGTGCGTTCAGAATATCCAATCACAGTATCCATCTATGGTCTTTCAGCTCCATCCATCCATCCACCTAGGGCCTTCATCACTAAGGGGAGTTGGATTACCCATAATGTCACTATGTGGGGAAAGGTGCGCCCACCGCATGGTGCCGAACATGAAAGAGACCGACTATAGTGTAGTAGTTCATTAAAACAACTTCAGAAGTACATAGAATCCATAAAAACGCACCCAGATGCTAATAGGTAAAAACAAACAGCAGTGTACTTAGAAGATCGCCAGACCCAAAACTGGAAGTGGCAGCGTGACATCGGCGTTCTGTTTGGTATTCACTTTTTGACATCATGCAAGGGTGTCAAACTGGTGGCCCTCCAAGCTGTTGAAAAACTACAAGTCCCATCATGCCTCTGCCTTTGGGAGTCATGCTTGTAGCTGTCAATCTTGCAATGCCTCATGGGGCTTGTGCTTTGGCAACAGCTGGAGGACTGCCAGTTTGACACCTGTGTGCTAATGCAATGCACTTTTTATACATTTTATATTACAAAAGTGGAGGAAAAAAATATTAATGCTTGCGTTGGTCAACAGAAGTTTGTGCCTTCTTGTAAATCTATATTGGAATAGAAATCTGTAAAGTGGTTGTAAAGGATAAATTCTTCTCTTGTTTATTATTTTAAGGGAAGAAAAAAAATGTTTATACTTTCCTGCTCTGTGCAATTATATTGTACAGAGCAGCTCCTCTTCTAGGGTCCCCCACTGGTGCCCTAAGCTCCTCTTCTCTATGTGCCACCATAGGAAGATGATTGCTATGATAGCCCACCTGTGGGCTTGCTCCCATGTCGGGCTGTATGGGTCCATAGACACACAGTATGACTTGGCCCCACCCCTGCTCCCTCGTTTCAGGACTTGATTGACAGCAGCAGGAGCCAATGGCTCTTACTGCCTTCTCTAATCCTGTGAGGGTGGGAAGGGAGAACCAGCACTGCTGCAGATGGGCACAGCACTGGATCGATCCAGGACTCGAGTACATATTTAGGGGGGGGGGGGGTGAGATGGTGATACAATCACTGGGACTTTTTTCTTTCCCTTTTTTTTTTTTTTTTTTTTTTTTTTCCACCTTAATGCAGAGAATGAGTTGGGGCAAAAGATGTCTTGCCTTTACAACTACTTTTAACTGCAAGCTTAGCCTTTGTCTGTGCTGATCTAAAGATACATTATTTAGATTCATCTATAATGTGGGTCTCTATATTTAGCAAAATTAGGAATTTGGCACATTGGTCCCCACCCTTCCCAATTCCTGAGCCTGGTTATGCGCTGTTAAATATGATGGATTGATTTACTGACAAATAGCATGGTAGAGACAGGGCAGGACTCTGTCTTGAGTTTCTAGTTGTATGTAGTCCTTTCCGTGATGGTGTTCTTGGGAATTCACTTCTGAGTGTTCCAGTTCAAATATACTCTTCAAGAATTTAAAAAACAAAAACAATGTCATCTTCCCTGTAGAAATGCAGATTCTGCTGCTATTAATAGTTGTCTACAGTTAGACTACTGCCTGTCTGAGATCAGCATTATGAAATTTATCATGTCCAAAGTGTTTTAAGACCTCACGCACACTGGACATTTTTACAGTTGCTTTTGGTGTTTTTTTTTTTTTTTTTTTTCCTCTTCTACAGCCAGTAAACTCCCCAGCATGCTATCCTATGTGTCCATACACACATAGGCTTTAATCAGTGTTTTTTTGTTGGGTGTTTTTCTGGTTGGCAAAAGAAAACCCAAAACTAGTGGGTTTCAAGAATAGTTTTTGGGGTTTTTTTTTTTTTTTTTTTTTTTTTTTTTTTTCAGCCAAAATGTTTCTGTGCTAAAATACACTAATGCAGAAAAACTTGCAGTTTTAATGCAGCTTTATACAGCTAGAGCCTCCGGTGTTTTTTGTTCACTCGTGCTTCTGAACTGTTACAATTTTAAGCTGACATGGTGCAATAAATCTTGGATATTGTTGATATAACTAATTTGAGCGTACTCTGTCTGGAACATGATTTCCAGAACCTTTGGCTAGAGTGATGATGTATTGGCACATTTGTCAGGTTCTCATTGCTGTCTGTCCCTGCTGGGGAAATTCCCCCCTTTATCTGTCCTGATAACCACCATTCATTGAATGTGTCAGAATGGAAACCAGGTTTCATTCATGATGTTTCATAAGCACTTTTTAAATGTTCCCATCAGGGGTGGACTGACAACTTATGGGGCCCCCGGGCAATAGGGGATCATGGGGCCCCTGTGTCCTTGCCCAAACTCAAAAAAGCCTATGAAAAAGGTACCAGGGGCATTTCATGGGGGCCCCCTACTGACCCCGGGCATTGCCCGAGTTTCCAAATGGTCAGTCCGCCCCTGGTTCCAATGCAAGCCCAGTAATTTTTTAGGATAAGTTCCCGGGTTGTTTTTTGAAGTTAGGCTTTGTGTTCATGATCCCGAGAACAAGGCTGCATTGCAGTGCAAGGCCCCATGTACACGGGACACTTCTGAACAATGGAAACTGCTGGAAAACGTAGGTTAAAAAGCATCTGTTTAGCAGCGTTTGCATACCGTGTTTATACGTGTTTATAAAAGCTTTTTTTTTAAAGATAACCTCAGGAGACCTTCCAAAATGCCCAGAATGCACTGAAAACAGTAAAAAATTAACTATTTCAGACATTTTGAGAGAAATGGAGAGAGCAGTATTTGTTGAAATTAGCTTTTTTTTTTTTTTTTTGTGGTGTTTGGATGTGTTTCAGCACATTTCTGTGCAGGAATTATTGCACATATATAACATATTTTTCTTTCATGCTGAACGTCAAAGTATGGTGTACCAGGTTCACTTGAGTACTGGGAAAACACTTTGCATGCATTTTTCATCATGAAAAAAGGCTCTGGGCAGCAACTGGAAATGAAAGAGTTTAAAAAAAAAAAAAAAAAAAAAAAAAAAAAAAAAAAAAATTCAAATGCTTATAAACGCATTTAGCTGCGTTTACAAGCGTTTGGCATTTAAAACGCTGATGAAATCTACTGCTGAACCCGTCTTCTGCATTCAAAAAACTGACTAAACTCAACTGCCTGTAAATGACTGTAAACTATGATGTGTACATGGGCACATAGGAAAACATTAGGGTGAGTTCAAGGGCTGCTGAAAAAAAAACCGCAGAAAAGCAGCTCCTGAACGTGAGTTTATCAGCTGCAGTGTACATGAGCCCTAATGGTTAAGGCTGTGCACCTTGGAATGAGGTCATTGAAGACATGCCTGGTAGCACAGTAAGTTCAGCAGTCTAGTGAGTCACCGTACTTTCTGCTAGAAGACAAACAGCATCTTGTTTCAAAGGAAAATTTCCCACCATTTGCCTAAGGTATGGGAAATGACATGCAAGTAACAGTTAAAAATAAAAGCATTCAGCCGGTTCATAAATGTATCTGTCCTCGGGCTTTATTAGGTAGGGCTTCTTATGTGTATTTTGACAACTGGCCCTTTGTGTCAGTATTGGCTGCTGTTTCACAAGTACAGATGTGACTGTAGTTGTAAGACTTTTCAAGTTGAGGAACATTTTTAATACTGTGGGAAAGATAATGATGAAAAGACCTCCAGCAACAAAAACCTTGAAACGGCTCTTATGTACTGGTAACACATTTTGATATTCTTACATTATGATTCACCTTCTTTCAAAAAGTGTACAAAAAAATCTAGTATAAATGGTACACATGTAAAGACTGAACCATCAAACTGAAGCGCTCATGAGAAGTACTTGTTACATGTTATTTTGTGAATAATACAGATATATGCAAATTGTTGAACATGAAGTACTTGTTACATTGCGGTCATAATAAGTTGTTTGTTTTTTTTTTTACTGCAGCTGGCAACTTCACAGCAGATTTGCATAAAATAAATGCTTACTTAAATATTTGAGCTGAATGAAAGAGAAAATAAACTGTCCAAAATTTTTCTGTTATCATTGGTCTTATGACCAGGAGCCGGGCTTGTGTGGGATACACAGAAGCTGATTTGCTAAAGAAGTTAACCAGTCGTGTTAAAAGCAAATTCCTGTTTACTTATTTTGACTGTATATGATTGGATAATTGAAGTGAATATTCACACAACTTATTTGATAAGTTTCACAACTTTAGTAAATTAGCCAAGTATTGCAGTGTTTTTTACACATTTTTTTCCTGTTTTAACCTTTCTTTGGTTGGCCATTAGGTGTCAAATCGTGTGATAAAGAACCAATAGAATGGGACTTTTAAGGCACAACTTTATATAATAAAACTTTTTTATTATATAATGTCATGCCTCAAAAGTCACATTCTATTGGTTCTTTATCGCATGATATAATTAGGGATGTGGCACAATTATTCTTTTTTTGCTCTTACTGGATGAGGCAAATCTTGGTTTTCAGTTTCTTGTGTGGGTTTTTTCTCTCCAAGTACGAATTCCCTTAAGTGGTTCAAAACCTCTTTTTTATTTTTTGTGATATTGTGTGCGAGCATTAGCCAGTTAATCTGTAATGTAATTTACACTTCCTCCTATATGCATAGTTTTTGCATGGGTGTAACTGGGATTGCTCCTAAAAATCCAAATGCTTTATGTAATTCAAATTCCTACTCAATCTCAGAATTACAGTAGGGTTGGGCAGCATTGTATCCTCATTCATTGATGCTTAGGCTAGGCTTGTCATTGCTCGAAACAGCTGATGATCCAAGTGGGTTTTTTTTTTTTTTTTTCTCCAGTACTTAATTTTATATTGTCTAAGTGCATATAACACACTGATTCTTTTTATTTTTTTTATGTTTTTGCAGGTCTGTAACTGGTTCATCAATGCACGGCGTAGACTGTTGCCTGATATGTTAAGAAAAGATGGCAAGGATCCGAATCAGTTCACCATTTCTCGAAAAGGGGCCAAAATCACTGATGTGATCCAGATGGACTCTCCCACGGGGACAAAGCCCTACATTCCCACTATAGATGAAAACTCTTTTCGCATCAGTTCAACAGGATCTAACCAGAACTCAGGGAAGTTACTGGCCTCTCAACTGTCTTCTCAGCAGTCTCTCCTGGCTCGCCCCTCAGTCATCTGTCATACCACTGTAACATCACTAAACGATGCTCCTTTCAACTTCACCCATGTGTTGAATGCTGGACAGATCCCAGACCAGCAGCAGACCGAGGCAAACAACCTAACAGAGACCTCACTTGTATGCCACGAAGACACTATTAAACTAGGACAAAACACAAGCGGACTTTTCAACACTCCTCCACCTACACCACCAGATCACAATCAGGATTTCAGTGGCTTCCAGTTATTGGTTGATGTTGCCCTCAAGCGAGCAGCAGAGATGGAGTTGCAGTCGAAATTATTGTCCTAACTTTTCCCCACTTGCAAAGTGTTCAGAACATTTCTTTTGAACTCAAGTTGTTGATATCAAAGACCTTCTGCATTATTATTTTTTTTTTTTTTTAATAAATATATATTCCTGTTATTTGCACACGGGATTGTCAAAGTGAAGCTTTCATGACACAAAGAAGTCTTACCCCTTTCGACCTAAGACATATATTATTTTTTTTTTTTTTCTCCGCCCCCTAAAAGAAAAGAAAAAAAAAAAAATAAACTGTGACTACAGCCTTTGACTTTTGTGAGGATTCTCTGTAGCTGTTTCTAAAGGATGTTGAGTTTCGAAACTTTCCATGGGCTCATTCAAACTTTCAATAACTTAAACTCAGGGGTGAAGGAGAGCTGATCGCAAGTATTTGTTTGTGTAATTGTATATATTATACGGTTACACCTACATCGACTATACTGTATTTTCATTCCAATGTTTCTATAGGATAGAGCTACTGTAGAAACAGGCGTTATGTTTCTTGGTAGATTTTGCTAATGTGAGATACTTCCCAAGATTGTGACTTTTTTTATGAAAAAATTTTTGGTACCTTTTTCAGACTGTGCAATATTAGAAAAACAGACATTTTATCATTCCAGAGCAGCAGATAATGCTCACATACTGTCTACCACATTTTCGTTTTCCATTTTTTTTTTTTTTTTTTTTCAGTATATAATAAAATATTTTGTTTAAAGTAATGTAAAATATGCGTGTTTTTTGTTACCTGGGAATGGCATTAGAATACCATGTAACTGGATACTGTTCCCTTTTTTGGACTATTAACTGCTATGTAAAGATTTGTTTCTTTTGACATGTATATTTTTTTTTTTGTATGTTTCTTTTTGTAATATAGAAATAACAAAGAACCTTGTGTGTGTTTTTTGTTTATATGCATGAAAAAAAAAAAAAAGTGCTGTACTCCTGATTCTGTACAGGGGTTGAAATGGTTGCAATAATGTGTACTAGTGTTAGTGCATAGAAAAAGGTGTGCATAGTAGTTTATATCTGGGTCAGTCAATCAAAAGTTATGTTCTTTTATGTCTGGAACTCCTGAAGTGACTAAACCTTACAGCTGTAGTTCCAGCTTTGCTCTTCTTGTGGATGGGGGGATTGTGTGTGTGTGTGTGGTGTTTTTTTTTTTTTTTTTTTTTTTTTTTTTTCTGCACATTTTTATGATTCCATGCACAATAGCATTTTGAAGCTGTTTATCAGCTTTTCCTAAAAGTGTTTTTTTTTTTTTTACTGTAAGAACGCTAAAAAAATGCTCCAACGCTACTAAAAACACTATTACAGTATCTTGAAAAAGTATTCATAGCCCTTGAATTGTTCCATATTTTGGTCATGTTACAACCAAAAATGTAAATGTATTTTATGTGATGGACCAACACAAAGTGGCACATAATTGTGAAGTGGAAGGAAAATGATACTTGGTTTTCAAAATATTTGACAAATCTCTGAAAAGTGTGGCGTGCATTTGTATTCAGCCGCCTTGAGTCAATAGTTTGTAGAACTACCTTTCGCCGCAATTACAGCTGCAAGTCTGTTTGGGTATGTCTCTGTTAGCTTTGCACATCTAGAAAGTGACATTTTTGCCTATTCTTCTTTGCTCTTCACAGACGCTCTCCATCCAATCTAACAGAGCTTGAGCTATTTTGCAATTTTCAAGTCTTGCCACAGATTCTCAGTTGGATTTAGGTCTGGACTTTGACTGGGCCATTCTAACACATGAATATGCTTTGATCTAAACCATTCCATTATAGCTCTGGTTGCATGTTTAGGGCCATTGTCCTGCTGGAAGGTGAACCTCCGCCCCAGTCTCACGTCTTTTGCAGACTCTTAACAGGTTTTCTTCTAAGATTGCCCTGTATTTGGCTCCATCCATCTTCCCCTCAACTCTGACCAGCTTCCCTTTCCCTGCTGAAGAAAAGCATCCCCACAACATGATACTGCCACCACCATGTTTCATGGTGGGGATGGTGTGTTTAGGGTGATGTGCACTGTTTACTTTTCTGCCACAAATTTAACGTTTTGCTTTTAGGTCAAAAAGTTAAATTTTGGTCTCATCTGACCAGAGCTCCTTCCACATGTTTGCGAAAAGCCATGTGGAGGACACGGCAAAGCGGACTTCTTATGGCTTTCTTTCAACAATGACTTTCACTCTTCCAGAAAGGACAGATTTGTGGAGTGAACGACTAATCGTTGTCCTGTGGACAGATTACCTACCTGAGCTATGGATCTCTGCAGCTCCTCCAGAGTTATCATGGGCTTCTTGGCTGCTTCCCTGATTTAATGCTCTCCTTGCCCGATCTGTCAGTTTTGGGTGGATGGTCATGTCTTGGTAGGTTTGCAGTTGTCATATATCCTTTCATTTTTAGATGATGGATTGAACAGTGCTCCGTGAGATGTTCAAAGCTTGGGATATTTTTTATAACCTAACCCTGCTTTAAACTTCTCCACAACTTTATTCCCAACCTGTCTGGTGTGTTCCTTGGCCTTAATGATGCTGTTTGTTTACTAATGTTCTCTTAAATCTCTGAGGGATTCACAGAACAGCTGTATTTATACTGAGATTAAATTACACACAGGTGGACTTTATTTACAAATTAGGTGACTTCTGAAGGCAATTGGTTCCACTAGATTTTAGTTGGGGCAATCTGAGTAAAGGGGGCTGAATACAAATGAATGCCACACTTTTCAGATATTTGTAAAAAAAAAAAAAAAAAAAGTTGCAAACCATTTTTATCATTTTCTTACCACTTCACAATTTAGTGCCACTTTGTGTTGGCCTATCACATAAAATACATTTTGTTTTTGGTTGACACATGGCAAAATGTGGAAAATTTCAAGGGGTATGAATACTTTCAAGGCACTGTACCAGCATTTTGTTCCAGTGTCCATGGAGCCTCCCTTGTTAGATAAATTGTAAATAATAGTGAAAACCCCTCTCAGTGATTGTGGTAAGTTGGCAAATTCGGGCGTTCCATGCAATTCCTAGCCAGTGAATGATTTCCCTTTCTGTAAAATAAAAATGTCAAAACCCCAAAATTGCCCCTTTTTTAGGAAAGTAATCATCCCAAGGTGAGCTTATTTTTGCCACTTTTGGGGGGGGGAATTGAAGAACCTCGCTGGTATTGAAGTGGTTAAGAAAAATATTAGGGTGTGCTTAGCCTTTTAAAGTTGCATACTGAAGCCAAGTGCAAGTCTTCCATTATTAGTAGACGAAAGTTGGAAATGTCATTGCAATGAAATTGCATTGTGTACAGTAGCTACATGTCGTGGATAAACTCTTTAACCCTCCCCAATTCATCCAGCCCCAGCTTCAACCCTTTGCAGCCAGAGGATTTAATTATTGGATTCATTCATTAAACCTTTTTTTTTTTTTTTTTTTTTTTTTTTTTTTTTTTTTTTTTTTTTTTCTTCCCTGTTTACATTAGTGATTGCTGTGATTACATTGCACAGAGCGGCAGAGACGGCGGCAGTACTGACTTTGTGTGCGTGATTGCCTCCTACAACCTCAGTCACACTTGATGCGAATTGGCATGCGATTTGCATATCGCATGCCAAGTTGCACCCTATTGTCCACAATTAGAGCGGTCATATCAATGCGGTTCCAACTTGGTTGGAGCCACACCAATTTCTAAAGTAGTACATGCACTACTTATGGTGCGATTTGCATAGACATCGATTTCGGATGTTTTGCAAATTGCACCAGAAACTGGCATGTCGCCGACTTTGAAATGCGACTTCACTGTAAGCCCTCATGCACACTTGGTGTTTTGATAATGCCGGTAATGTTAGCTGTGTAAAGTCGCGTTAAAAACGTGAGTTTTTCAATGTTTGTTAGCATTTTTTCATTAGTGTTTTGCCATGATTAACGGTGTTTTTCTGTGTTGTGTTTTTTTTTTTTTAGAAGTTTTTTTTTATGCTAAAATTTTTTTTTTTTTTTGGTTAAAAAAAAAAAAAGTCCAAAAATGTTTTTCAGTGTTGCAGTGTTTTTACAGCTAAAAAACTCCTAGAAGCCCACTGGTCCTGTGTGGGGTGTTTTTTTTTTTTTTTTCACAGCCAAAAAAAGTTGATTGCAGTCTGTGTATGGACACATAGGATAACATGCTGGGGGGTTTACTGGCTGTACAAAAGCCAAAAACAGCAGCTGTTAAAACGTCAAGTGTGCATGAGGACTAAGTCGCACGATTTCAAAGTCTGGTTTGATGTGATCGGGGCGTAACTCCTGTCAGATCACAGGGACAGGAGGGGAATGTTGTTCAAAAGATGACATAACATTTTTAATAGAATGAGAACCTATGCCAGATTTATTATTGCTGTTGGGCAGATTTTCCTGTTCTGAATAGGTATTATGCAGTCCTGAAGGGACATTTCAGTAACTGAGACCTAATAAAACCTTTACCAACTATAAAAACCCTAACCCTTTCCCACACTGTCAAAAAAAAAAAAAAAAGTTTTGAGTGGAATTTAAGACTTAAAGTGAAACTGCAATATTGACAAGAAACAATCTCCTTACTGTACATTGCAAGAATGTATTGTAGGCTCGTGTTCTGCAGATTTTTTTTTTTTTTTTTAAAACTGCTTAGTGGAATAGCATTTCATTAAAGGTGTCCTAGCAAAAATAAAACTCCTATTGGAGGGACTAGCTGTCATTTGACTTGAGGCTGGATTCACACATGTGCGGTTTTGAAGGTCTGTTTTTACAGTGAATTACAAAGCAGTTGTTCAGGGCAGGAAAAAAAAAGGGGATGAAGTCACTTTCAAAAACTGATGATCTGCCTGATTGAGCAGCAGAATTTGCAGCTGAACCAGACCGCACTGCTCAGAAAACTGATGGGCCTTTTTTTTTTTTTTTCTTTTTCAAATTCTCACTGGAACTGCACTCTGACTACACCTGATATTTGTGAATAGGCACAATAGGAAGCAATGTTATTTCCCATGCCATGCGAATTGGATGCGGTTCAATACACATCCAATTTGCATGT